CTTATTGTTAAATTTTTAAAAAGCGTCTTTGCTTCAAATCCCCATAATAATTCAGCAAGCTCATCTTGCAGGTTGATGTCCACGTTTTCAATTTGAGCAGAAAATGGCACAATAATCCAATCAGGGATGTCAATGTTTTCCAAATCAACAAAACGCAGTTTAAAATCGTCGCTCAATTTTTGAAGATTACCTGTATATATTTCCAAGTCTTCTTTTATTTCTCATTGTCATATATCTGAAAAATACTGATAATCCTTCGACCAATTGACCCTTCCGGTTCGGAACGACCCCCATTCGACCCCCTGGCTCAGATCGACCCCCGCTTATGTTAAATAGACCCCTGGGGCTCTATATAGACCACTTTGGCGACCTCTGGATTAGGGTAATGTGCACAGAATAGATCAGATTGTCTCAGATCTCGTTTTAAGGTTTACACGTAAAATGCATTACAAACAAGTTTACATTAAAAGGTTTTTTGCTGGAAATAAGCCTCATCTGAATCAGTTTGAATAAACTTAAGATCATTTCGTTTTCTTAATTATATCACCTTTATAAGATTTACACAATCCAAATATTTGTTTTAAATGAAGAAGAGTCATAAAGATTCAAAAATGAGGTTTTAATGATGATCAACATTCACATTTGAAGGCTGATTGATATTTCTTCTGTAAATATTTTATTAACATTAAAGGTATGAGATTCTTAAATACTGAGTATTCATATCACTTGGGTGGGGCGTACTGTTTTCTTGCGTGGATGTGGACTATCTTGTATCACAATGACAGTCTTTCCCCGATTGTCTGTATCCTCAAACATTCTCTGATTTTTCCTTGCGTGGTAATCTGGCACCTGCAAGACAAAAAAAAAACATTAAGAAAGTTGTACATATTCACTTATTTTTTTTTAAAAAAAAACGGTTATTTTCAAAAATGCCATTAAGAAATTCAGTGCCGACGGAAGACATTATCGCATACCGTGCAGTGCTCAAAATGAGGCCCTTCACTCAATTTTGGAAAATAAATTTAAAAAAACAAACAGAAAACCCTTGAATTGTGTTTCTGGTGTAATCATGTAGAGAAATGCTTACTTTTTTATTTTAAATTATAGTATTTCTATCAGAGAATTATAAAATCTAAATCAATCTTAAATGTTGACTTGGGAAACAAGATAAATTATGCATTCAAGGTTAAAAAAAGAAAAGTTTAATTAACCTCGAGTATTCTAGAATTAATATTTATTATACGTAATATTTTTAATCAACATAATCTTTTACGGCAAGCGAATGCATCGACATCTATTTTTTTTTCATGCTTTAGTAGTTGCAAACAATTTTATAGACTCTTCAAAACCAATATTTTTTACCCCATAATATTAATTTTATTTTTCGCCATATCTCGAACCATCGAGAACTTTTTAAGCGAATTGAAAATTGGTTAGACGCGATTACAAAAGTTGTTTATCCTAAGATAATTCCAAGCAAAAATTTGTTATTGTTTATTATTTTATTTAGCAATAGTAGAAATTTTTTTAAATAGTAAGGCCACCATTTTCTACATCATTTTAAAGCATCTAATTTTACAAGGTAAAGTTTGAAAACAAAAAAGTCTTATATTTAAAATTTGATTTCTCTGGAACTTTCAACTGATTCAAATTTTGTACTTGGCCATGTAAAATTAGATACTTTAAAATTATACAATAATTTATGTAACTTATAATGCAAAAGTTTTTCGACTGTTATTAAATAAAATAATATTTTTTAAAAAATATTTACTAAAATTTATTTTTTGCATAAAATTATCTTTGGACAAGCGAATTTTATAATTGTGTGCAAAAATTTTTCAATTCGTTTTAAATGTTCTCGAGATATGGCGAAATACGCAAAAAATAAAATTAATATTAGGGGGTCTGAACTTACAATCGCTCTCCAAACTATGGGGACCCTATTGGCCGGGATAGAGATCGTGAGTTCGATCTCCGCCGGCCGAAGACTCCCCGTTTAGTAACTGATGCATTTGTCGAATCATCAAGTCCTCCCATAACAAATCATACCTCTGAGGGATCCATCGTTGAAGAAAGAAAAAAAAGGTATGTGAGAAAGTACGTTTTTGTGTCTGATTTCGTAACTTGAAATTAGTTGAAGTCATCCCCTCGAATCATTAAGATGGAACGAGAAGATCCGATCATTAGATCAAAATTATTCAGGGTGGTCCGTTTATTATTTCGCTCACTTGTCTTTACATTGTACGAGAGTACGTTTTTTTTTTTGTGTGTCAACAATAATTTTCCTGAATTCAAAACGCGTGTTAAGGTTGAAATATCACCCTTTTATCACTGCAAAAGTCTATCATCTTCATGCATTTATCATGAATAATTCAAGCTGCTGATTTTCGAATGGATTTTCTTTTTCCAACAACAGAAGGGAAAAAAAACTCTACTAGTTCCAGCATAAAATTACCAAGAGTATTTTCACGCTCGAACTCTTTCAATCAGATTCTCAAAAAATGCGCCTAAATTCGTATTGGCGAACTCTACTTGGAACTTCCATTCATCTTGGAAAAATCTTGGGGGTATTGACAGTATTATGATGACACACATCTTTACTGTGGCTGAATCTGTTGAGCATTAAAACTTTTAAAGAACCAATCATACTTTATAGAAACTTATCCTGAAATGCTATAGCTTCTTTTCATGTTATTTTAATAAATTATTATGATTAATAATTTTATAGCCACTATTTGTTTTAAAAACATTTCCTATTTTTAAAACAAATTTCTTATATCATTAAAATTGGAGAAAGAAAAATATTTTTAAAAATGAAATCATTGCTAGATTTATAATAAATTGAAATATTGTTAAATTAAAGTTTTTTTTTTTGTTTATTTATGAAGCAACAATTATAGCTGAAAAAAAGTTTTCAAATATAATTTTAAGAAAATTTCTGCACTTATTCATTAATATTTAAAATGTATATAGTTAAAAGGTAATTTCTTTTAAAATTAGCATGCGAAATTTTTCAAATATTTCTCCAAAAATTTCAAAGAGTTAGGTTATGTCTGAATACATTTTAAAAACGCAAGCATTAAAGCTTGGAGTAATATTTAGCACTAAAAAAATGTTCTTGAGCAATTAAGTTTGGCAATCTTACTAGTAGGCTGTGTTCTTTCATTCTATGTAATAAAAATAATTTATTTTGTAATGTGAAAAATTATTTTTTTTAACGAGATTTGGCATCCCTATTGTACCTGTTTCATTCTTATAAAATCATTCTTAATTCTATCAAAAAAATGTTAATCAAAAAGTCTGGTCGAGAAGTAATCAAGTAAAAAGAGAAGATATCTAGGCAGATTCAGAGTTATAGAACACTAAGAAGACGTACGCCCTGGGGCCACTTGCTGATGAGATTCAGAGTTATAGAACCCAAAGAAGGCGAATACTCCCAGGGGTCCCCAACCCTATGCCCGCGGGCACCATGGCGCCCTTCGATCGGTTTAGGTGCGCCCGTTGCTTGTGCCCAACGATAAAATACTTCAGTTTTCCATCTTCCCATAAAATGTTAAGCAATATTTTCTACTTTTTCAATATGGATGATAAACACAACCAAAATAGAATTCGCCATCCCCACAGATATAAGCACAAAGCAAAATATAGCTGACCACTCGCGAATTGCATATATGAACTCATACTTTGTATGTTTTGCAAGCAATTTCGTAATAATTTATTTTACTCAAGGATATTAATACTAATTATATTCATATGTTAAATTAATTTTTAAAATTAAATTTTTTGTGCATTATATGCAGTGTGTATTATTATTTCCTATGTCTACCAACTATAAATTTATCTTGAAAAAATAAATGGTGCCCGCCATTCGACCGATATTCTGGTATTTGCTCTTTGGTACAAAAAGGTTGGGGACCCCTGCTCCAAGGGGTCTTTTGTCGAGCGAGATTCAGTATCAGGAACGCGAGAAGGCTCTTAAGGGAATTGAGTCATAGAATCTATGAACGAAAGCAAATGCTGTGGGGACATTTGCTTAAGGAGATTCAGAATCATAGAACTCAAAGAAAGCAAACGCCCTGAGGGGCATTTGCCGAGAGTGTTTCAGTATCATGGAAAACAAAGAAGGTTGTGAAGGGAATTTGCTGAAGAGTCATGAAACCCAAAGAAAGCAAATGCTCTTAAGGGAGATTCAGAGTAAAAAAAAAAAACAAATACCCTGAGGGTCATGATACCTGTAAATAGCTGTCTCCTGATTGGACACTTGCATCTTTGACGTAAACTACTTTTCGGGGTTCTTCAAATGTTTCATAGTCGGGAGATATGAATGTTTCAGGGTAAACGTCGGTAGGATCAGGTTGAGGAGGTTCCACCATTCTTATCTGCCAATATTGAATATTTTCGAAAGCACACACCAGCAGCATCACGATGTCCACAGAAACTATGACAATCTGTAACAACAATAAACAAAAGCTTCATGAGACTAAAGTAAAAACTCCCCTATCTGAACTCATGGCGGTGAATATGGTAACAACTATTTCTAATAGAAGGTTTAGGACAGGTTTTGGCTGGGATCGGCGAGAGAAAATTCGGTCTATTATGTGTCTAGGGCTAGACTGAAGAGAAGCTATTCTCGTTTCCATAGCAGGAGACGGCCTTTGTGGCGGGGGGAGTTCTTACCGTAGACAAACTATAAGCTGACATCACTTACCTAATATCAGAAGGTTTATAAACCATTTTGTAATAAATATATAATTTTAATTAGTAACAAAAACAGGAATTTATGTTTGCAGGTGTGCTTCTTTATGTTAAGAATTTCGAGACCCGATATAAAGGTTTTCAGTTGAAATAAGCGTAAAACTCCTGCAGTTAAAGCGCTATAAAGAGTCTAAAGTAAAAACACCCTAGCCATTTGTCGTGGGGGTGAATATAGTAACGTTTATTTCTATTAGGGGTCATTGCTTAGGACAGGTTTTGGCTCGAGTCAGAAAAAGAAAGGGAATATTTTTTTTCCTATTGTGAAGACCCTCCCTGAAATGCGCTATCCTTGTTTCCTTAGCAGCAGACGGCCTTTGTGGCGGGGGGAGTTCTTACCATAGACAAACTGTATTCAAGGTTATTTTTACTGGTTATTTTGGTTTTTACCGCCTGCATTTGCAGTTGTATTGGCCTTGTCATGACTTATTTTATCTTGCAAACCACTGGATTTGCAGTAACTATGGTGACGACAATTGTATTCAAATTATTGTTGCCATGCGAAATTTTTTCTTACGGCAGGTACGTAACATTCGTTCTTCCACATTGGAAGATGCCGGAAGGGTTGCTCATTTAACGTTACCCGGTGGGCAACTGTGAACCTAAGTCACACTGACGCAAATACCAGTTTATAGGGTGGGCGACATTCACACAACAAAGAACAACACGCGAAGAGAAACACCCTAAGCGGGACTCGAGCCCGCAAGCATTGGCCACCTCGCCGGCTGCTCCATGCCAATTTTGGCATAGGCAAAATAAATACGTTTCATATCAATTAATTATTAAATTAAGATTTTTTTTTTATATCCTTGAAATATTTTTCGCAGTGTAATCTCATCAGAGCAAAAATTAAATTCGGTAAATGGCTTATTGTTTCCCAACTGCATAAAATGTTTACATAACCTTGAGGATTAAACTATATTTCAACGTTCCACTTAGGTAATTGCAGTCGCTGTGAAATCTCCCTAGGATATTTCCTTTTTTACTCTGCTTGTTAGAGTTTTACGATTCTTCTTACGATCGAATTCTTCGATTTTCATTTTTTTAAAAATCAAATTACTAAAAAAGAACTGTAGCAAAAAGAGGAAGTAATAATACTAATAACTACATTTGGACACATTTTAAATTTAAAATAAAATTTATGTTTGCAAATGAAAGAGTTAGAAAAATATTTCTTCAAGGAGATTTAAAATTCCACAAAATGAATTAAAACGTAATTTTTAATTTATGCAAAGTTAACTTTTATAGTTGAATTTAATCCTAAAATGTTTGAAATTATACTACTATAGTAAAAAGTAAAGCAAACAGCATAAGAGGTGTTTATCATTTTGCTTATTTTTGTTGAAAAGGAATGAGTGGTGTATAAAAATGCCTTCACTATTTCACGCCACACCGGCCCTCAACAAGGCATTATGATCTGGGGTGCCATTTCCTTTGACAGCCGGACCCCTTTGGTCGTCATTAGAGGAACATTTACTGCACAGCGGCACGTCGACGACATTCTAAGACCTGTTTTGCTACCGTTCCTTTTGCAGTGCCCTGGGCTGGTTTTTCAGCAGGACAATGCCAGACCACACACGGCACGTGTTGCATTGAACTGTGTGCAAGCTTGTCAAACTCTTCCTTGGCCTGACAGATCACCAGATCTCTCTCTCATCGAGCATGTCTGGGATATGATGGGAAGGCGATTGCATCTGGCACGGAATATTGATGACCTCGTTCGACAATTGGATCGAATTTGGCAGGAAATACCGCAAGAGACCATCCGGGAGCTTAATCGGTCTATGCCACTCCGTGTGGCAGCTTCTATCCAGGCTAGAGGCGGGTCAACACCTTATTGAACTAGTTACTGTAACTCTGCCATAAATTATTTAATTGTTCTGAAATTTTAATTATTTACTATTCTGTACATTGTCTTCCTATCCACCAATTTTCGTTTCAATCGGACAACTCCTTCTTGGTGCGTCGAGTTTTTTTGTTATAGAAATTTTCGAGAATTTGATAAAGTCATTTTTTTATTGATAATCCTGTTGCAATTCGAATCAATCAATTTGATGCATCAAACGAATCACGATTCATATCGGCTAATGATTAGAAACTAGTCAATAGTAATCTGAATCAACAAAAAGAACTGATTCGACTTACCTCGGTGGTTCATCTTTTAAGAAGGGAACTTGTATATAAAAATAACTGACATTTTGTGATGGCTAATATCGATAAGTACTTTGGACTCTTTGAAATTTATAAACGTAATTAATGAAATATTTTAAAAAAATCAATATCAAATGATAAATCACCTGAATCCAAAATGCCCATCCTTTATAGACGTTAAATTGCCGAAAGGTTCCATCTCCAACACTTGCTAGAATGGAAACAGATATCGCAATAACAACTGCAACGAAAAGAAAATAACAAATTACTTTTGCTATTAACAAAGGACAATTGTAAAGTAAAAATAATCGTAGGAGCAAAAATAAATTAAGAAATATAGTCTAGGTGAACTTCGAGGTGCTCTTGGACTATCGCTAAGTTGATTGTAAGAGTGAACAATGTAGTTTCATTTACGTATAACCCGCACAAAATAAATGAAGTAATCTTTCCTTTTTTATTCGGTATATTAGATAACAAGCATTTTTATGCTAATTCCTTGCTTTTATTTAAAATACATTTTATTCAGATTATAATCTTATTATTTTACACTTTAAAGATGTTTTGCTTTTAGCATCTTTTAAATCTTAGTTCACTTTCTGTGTAATACACAAAAAAGACGATCTACTTGAATGCTCTAACTATAGAGGTATTAGCTTGATTTGTGCAAGCTGTAAAGTATTTTCAAATATTGTATACAACAGACTCTCTCTATTTTTGGAAAAACTGGTTAGAGACTATCAAGGTGGATTTAGGAAAGGAAGATCCACCACTGAGCGAATATTCATTCGGCAGATTCTGGAGAATTTGGAATAGATACACGCCATCTTTTCATTGATTTTAAAGCTGTCTACGATACCATCAGTAGAAAAGCCCTCATCGCAGCTATGATTGAGTTTAAAGTGCCTAAAAAGTTATCTAGGCTGATATGCCTGAGACTAAATGAAACCAAAAACGTGTGTCAAAATACAGAATAATCTGTCAAGCCCAATGGTAATAAATAATGGTGTGTGGATGCATTGGCATGGTTACTCTTCAATTTAGTATTAGAAAAAGAGATTCCAACATTAAGATCAGGGGAAATATATTTAATAAATTACATCTGTTGGCCTTTGATGACGATATAGACATTATTGCTAGAACACCTATAGCTTTAAGACGGGATTTTATTTCTTTAGAGAAAGTGGCTCTCAAGATGGGCCTGAGAATAAACGAGAGCAAAACTAAATAATTGCCCTGTACTAAAACAGGCTTCAATAACACCCAGTTAGAAATTGAAGAATATAAATTTGAGGTTGTTGACAATTTCGCTTACTTGTGTTCTGTAATCAACAGGAGGTAATCTGTAATCAGCAACTTTGTATATTATAATAAAAATACAAAGAAGAATTACTGTTACAATAAATGTTCTACTGGAATTCGAAAATACATGAAATCAATTGTAATTAATAGAAAAACAAAAGTTTTACAATATAAATCTCTTTTAAGATCAATTTTAACATATGCTTGTGAAATCTGGACCCCATCTTGTACGGATGAGGTTATGTTGGGTACCTTTGAGAGAAAGGTTTTGAGAAGTATTTTATGAGGAATTCAAAAAAAATGGTGTCTGGCTTGGAGGATGAAATCTAGAGCTTTATCACTCATATAATGAACCTGACATTATTAACTTTATTGAACGGCAAAGAATAAAATGGGCAGGCCATGTTATCAGAATGGACGAAGACCGTACCACAAAAAGAGTTTTCAGTGCCAGACCAGTTGACACACGAAACAGTGTAGGCCGAATTTGAGACGGACAGATGGCCTAGACGAAGAACTTTTCGTCTTAAAAACTAAAAACTGGAGAACACTAGCAGGAAAAAGGTTAGTCTGGAAGAAACTTCATGGGAAGGCCAAGGTCCACCTTAGGCTGTCGAGCCATTGATGATGATATTTTAATTCGGCACGCAAACACAATTTGCGTCAATTTTTTTTTTACAGTTTGTCGGTAGGGGCCCCTACAAATATACTTTTATCGAACAAAGCTTTTATTTTTTAGCCTTTAATTTATTTAATATCTCTATAATCAATATATAAAATAAAAAGTATATATTTGAATAAGAGACAAGCAAATAATTTACCCGTAAACACAGTTATAACTTTTAATAATTTTAAAGCTGGAAGACAGCTAAAATTATCTTCGTTAATTTAATTATATGACTTTTTCTGGAAAATAGAAATGCGCCAACAACAATGAAGAATTACCGCATGTGAGAGCGACTCCAACTTTGACTACGCAAAGTCTTTTTGTACCCAGGTAGAGATCTGGCGTGTCTTTGAATACCTGGATGACGCGAATGATGGCCAACACTACAAAGGAAGCTATCAGGAATAGATGAATAAGAGAAAGGGCACCTGCCCAAGCTGCATGCGTGGGCAGTTGGAGAGGACTGTCATCTGGGTGGACACAAGATTCGGTGCCACGGGTTGTTGAGCAGAGTCGCCATAAGCCAAAGTGACCACTCTCTTCCCGTATACCTGTAAATGAAATACTGTACTGGTAATAGCATAAATAGGAAGCCCATATATGTTATTAACATTTTGTACATAAAAAAACATACATAACATTTTGTATAATAAAAAACGCTTTATGACTATACTAATAATTGGTTTGGTATAGTGCAGGGCTGTCCAACTGCAAGGAGCCCACGGGCCAGAATTTCACTGATCACCTGGCGGGCCGCAGTTTGAAAAAGTTGAACAATAACCTCTTACCCTTTATACGATAACAATTAATATTTGAATTATGAATTATAAAACAATGGAACAGAAGGATTATAAAACTATTTGCTTGCATTTTAATGGGAAAACTGAGTCCGATCAACCTGAAAAAGAAGTTGGCGGGTGGCACAATATGTGTTGGGGGGCCGCATAAGGCCCGCGGGACCCCAGTTGGACAGCCCTGGTATAGTGCAATGCTCGGAAAAAAAGGAACGCAATGATTCCGGACTAAATTTTGGTGCCAGAATAGTATTTTTACAAACTAAGAAAACTAGATCATTTGAGTGGTCATATCTTAAATATGTTTACTAATCAGTGCAGAATGTACATTGAAACCTGTTAAGCTGACAACTTGTCTAAGTAGACTTTCAAGGTTGACCGATCTCTTGAAGAAACTAGTGGGACCCTATTTTAAAGAGGGCAGCTGCCTTCCCCCCATATTTTGAGGGTCAAGAATCAAAATCCGTCGAAAATAAGGAATATTCATTCAGAGAAGGTATATTTCTGCATCTGACTTCGTAACTTAAACTTTCGTCAGCGGTAATTAGCACATTTATGGTGAGGCCTTCCAACGATTAAGTTTATTGACTCTTCAAGTACGTAAAAATTCAACAATTAGATTTAAAGTTATTCATGACGTTAACTTTTTTATTTTGCCTACTGTAAAAGATTTTCCGATGTAATAAAGAGTTGCTTATTTTTACAGTTTTACCTTGGAGACAGTTTTACAGTTAAGAGCCATAGTTGCTCAGGGAATAGAGCACGTCTTCCAATTAGGTGAACCGGGTTCTAGTACCAGCAATGGCTGGTCGATAGGAATTCCGCCCCCGGCACGCACCGACCATAGTATTGACGTAAAATATCTTCAGTGGTGACAGATCATGGGTTAGAGTCCCCTTGTCGTAAAGCTTACCATGGGATTTTTGTGTTGTGTTCCTCTCCATGTAACGTGAATGAGGGCTAGTTCTACCGAAAAGCCATTCACAAAGGTAATACTTTTTCAATACTTGATTCAGGAATTCCCTTGTCTTCTGGATTGGGCTCAAAGTTACAAGGCTACAGAGTTGAACATTGCTAGTCATAAACCCGAAATTGGGTCGGCAGTTCAACGATGATTGTAGAAAAAAATAAAATAACAGACAATTAGAGTCGTGGTGACTCAGTGGTTAGAGCGCTCGTCTTTCATTGAGGTTACGCGGGTTCGAATCCCACAGATACGAATTCTGTACCCGATTCGCACTGACCGCAGAGTTGACATAAAATATCGTCATTGGTAAACGGGTCATGGGTTAGAGTCCTCATGCAATCACGCTAACCATGAGAGGCTTTCGTTGTTTTCCTCTCCATCAAAAAGCTGATCAGCTGTTCAGCGACGGTTATAAAATAAAAAATAATAGACAGTTACACTTAGAAAAAAGTAGAAAATTAAGTTATGTATTCATCACATTGATCGTTAGTGCAAAAATTCAACTGTCTATCGCATCTGGGATTTGATATATGCTTCACTAGTGATCATACATTTACAAAATATATTACCTATGTTTACTAGTTTCTGGAATCATAAAGTAAGTCTCTGTTCTTATCCCTTTGTTTTTCCTTAATTGAACAAATTCTACGTGTTTTCTGGGATTCTTCTAGTAAATGACAGTTACATTAGGTACTTTTATAATTTGTCAAATGTTTAAGTTTTTATTCTTTTTTTGCTTGGACTGATTTTTTTAACTTAAGTTTTTCGAGCTATTTTATTAAAATAGTTTTTAAAAAAAGGCAAACTTGAGCTATTTTTAGACAGTTTCATTTCCTTTTCTTAAATTTTGGTTCCTTCATTAATTTTAAATGTGTTGATCTTTTTGTTTGATTAGTTTTAATGTTTATCATGTATTTTTTCCTAATGCATTGCATTGTGTATTTTAAGAAATTTCCATGTTTAGTTATTTTTTTAAATGTGAGTAGAGTGAAAAAAAGTTTTTAATAAGTTATACTTAACAAAAATTCGATTGCTTCAAGTGATCATTTTCTCTCTTTTTTTTTGGATCATCATTTGTTTGAGTACACCGTTTGATTAGTTCATCTAAATTATATTACACCATTTACATTAAGCTTAGATTAATTGATTAAAACTCTAGGGGGATTTTAAGGGAACTTTTCTTTACATCTGAGGAATTGGTACTCATCTGGGACATTTCTATTTTTTCTAAGCAGGAAAAGTTTGCAGAACATTTTATTAAATCATTTTTATTTTAAATGGGTTCTGAGAACATTTAAGCAAACATTTTGCCATTTTGTGCTAGTTTTAGAGAAATTTGTTTTTAAAACGATAAAATATAATATTGCAGATGTAAAATTCGTTTGCAAAAATTCCGTAAGAAAATAATCGTTATTTGAGAAAAATATGAAAAGAAATAGAAGAATTTGGAAAGCATCATCGGTCCTCTTTTGGGGCATTTCTATCTTTTTGAGCAGGAAAAGTTTGCGAAGCACTTTATTAAAATCGTTTTTTTTAAAGGAAAAAAAAAGAGTTCTAAGGACATTTAAGCAAATATTTTGCCCTTTTATGCTAGTTTTGGGAAAATTTATTTTTTTAAAACGATAAATATAATATTGCAGGCATAAAATTCGTTTGCAAAAACTGAGTAAAAAAATATCGTTATTTGAGAGAGATATGAGTAGAAATAGAGGAATTACATCCGCATTCAACTCAACTGGTTACGAAACGAGACCTAATGAGCTTGTTTGTATCAGAATTCAATGCAACAAATGACTGAAAAATAAAATCTAGGTAGAACAATGGAATAAAAATCAATGGAGACCTCTAATTCTCCTGGAATAAAAATGTCCCCATTCGTCTGAAGGCAGAACGATGAACTGAAAGACGAAAATGAGAAGGCTCACGAAGACAGCACAGATTGGGAGAATGGCCAGTAGACTACACATGCTGAATACCCGATCAGCAATTTCTTCATGCTGTTCCACTCTCTGATTGTTATTGGGAGATGATTATGTGATGCAGAGCACGTTGGTGGCACATCATGTTGACACATAACTCACAGACATTTGTCACACCTAGGAAAAGAAAACAGCGTTTGATAACACTAGAGAGCATTATGGTTAACCGTATAAGGTTTAAAATTCTGTACCTCGGATTTATTTTATTACGTCTAAGGGGACGTTTATAAAAATTATGTCAGGATTAGAGGGAGGAGAGCTCACGCAATTGAGATAGTTTGTGACGGGGAATAAAAAAGTGCTTGATAACATTACATTTTGATTGAAATAAAAACATTTAAATCCAATGAATTAATTATTTTTATATTTTTTTTCATCAAAAAAAAAATACTTAAGTAATCATTATTATCGTAATAATTACAAGTGTTATTAAAACTCATAGCGTAATGCTTTGTTTCTCAACTGAAAATGTATGCTTCTGTAAAATAGTGACATGGGATATATTGAAGTTGTGACAGCAATAGGAAAAATAAAGATAATTTTTTCAAAATTTTTTGACACTCTCCGGAGCAGTATTAGGTTGTGAAACAGCTGTTATACCTTTGATAACTTATACTTTTTTGGTCAACACAAATTCTCATTTAATTGTGTTTTTTTCGCGATGAACTTAGTCGAATCTCATCTGAAGTAAATATTCACGGTATTATTATTCATAAGCTATGTTAACATTCCTAGCATAATCAACGCATTTAGAGCCGTGAGGGCTCAGAGGATAGAATGTTCGCCTTCCAATGTTGTGAACCGAATCCCAGCGACGGCTGGTCGACATGAGCTCCTGCACCGACCATAAAATATCTCATATACATAGCTGACATAAAATGTCCTCAGTGGTAGATTAATCATGGGTTAGAGTCTCCTTGTCGTCAGGCTAACCGGGGGATCGTTTTCGTGGTTTTCCTTCCTATGTAACGCAAACGCGAGTTAGATTCATCAAAATGTTCTCCACGAAACCAAAATTTCTCCTAATATTCAATCGAGGAGTTCCCACGTCTTCTGGATTGGGTTCAAAATGACAAGACCACAGAGTTAGTAGTCGTAACCCCAAAAATTGGGTCGGCTGTTCAACGACGGTAATAAAATAAAATTATGATTGATAGCACTATTTCAAATTGATAAACAATTATGTGTTTTGTTTAAGTTGGATTTAAAATTTATATCATAAAAATTAATTTACTTTAAAAAAATAAGAGGTTTCTTTGTTTGAGATGTTTTTTGTTTTATTTCTAAAATAGCTTTTTTCTAACCTAACTTTTAAGTCTAAAACTAAATCACTAATAGCATCGTCTTTAGTATACTCTGACTGTATCATGAGGTTGTCAATCTCTCTTAGANTAATTTTGTTGTGTAATTTCATAGCTCAATACAACACAATGCAGCCTTTTAAATGTAATGTGAATCGAAATGTGAAATATAATTGAGAGGATTTTCAACGTGGATAGTAATATATATATATATATATATATATATATATATATAAATGACCAATGTATTTATTTTAGAATTAAGAAACTTTATGTCTTAATTTTATGTGTCGTGATGTCCAACTATATTGCACTTAAGGTTAAAAAAAAAAAAATCTGAATTTCTGGTTGTGTGCTTATCAATAATGAGTGACAGTGTAGACAGACTTCTGTGGACAATGTTTGTTCTGACGTCACATTGGAAGAGGTTAATATAAATGAAGCGATAAAGAACTAATTCACAGTGTCAATATTTCAGGAACTTATGGTAGATATTCTCAGATTGTCAATGAGGTATCACCTGCACTTGGTTTTGTAAGGGGTGAAAAAGAACACTATATATATAGCATAATAAATAAATACAAAAAGGAAAAAACGAAGAAAATTACGAAAAACAATAAATTTATTTTAACTGCGCATAAGATGCAAGTAAATAGAATTCATAAAATAAGTTTAAAATGTAGAGAAAACATGGAAAAAATTACAGAACATTAAAAAAAGGGAAAAAGTAAAAAATAATAAAATCCGGAGAAAAAAAAATTAGAATCCAGAAAATAAAAGACATAATCTTTTCATCAGCTCGCACGATTATATCCGCGAAAAGGAGAGCTACCTAATATTGTATCAATCCAAAGCATTAATAATATTGTATCAATATGTATCCAAAGCAAAATATATCAATACAATAGTGTGAGGAGCACTCAAAATTTGTTTTACATATATATGTATGTACCACCTGATTTCTAATTTCGTTTGATACCAGATAAATCAAATAATAAAGAAGGTCTCACCTCCAAAGAAGAAAAAAAATATTTTTAATGTTAATATACTATAGTTTAATTATAAATAATGGCAATATGATTAGTAATAATAGTAATAGAATTTATAGTAACTGTGAAGTAATAATAGTAGAATTTCTCTTGATTAAAAAAATCAATGCTTTAATTTCGATTTTTTTTTATTTCTCTCTAAAAAATTTTTAAAAAAATGGCATGCTCAAATTGTTAAGAAATTTTAAACAATATTCGATATCTGGAATGATTATTATGGACTTTAGTCTATTTTAAGGATATAATTTTGGTGCATAATGATACACTGGCTAGGAAATTCTCTTAATCTTTCTTTAATTTTCACAAACATATCAATGATTAGTATCTACACACCTGAATTTTTTACCTGTATCGCAAAAAATTATTTTGATTTATAAATTTAAGAAAAAAAAGCTGTTTTATTCACCTTGGCAGATTAATAATTAAAACATAAGCAAGAACCTATTAATCTGATTACGTTTTTTTTTTTTAAAAAAAATTTCGGTATTCTAAGCATTTATGAGACCTTTACAACCGATCAAACTGACTGATTGTGAATTTGGTGCAAAAAATTAACATACGCTGTTCTTTACTCGAACTAATTTGCTTGTAGTTATGGAAATGAATCTTTAGTTCCCTTAGTCACAAGTGTAGTTTTGGAGAAAATTATTGTAGAATTAGTTGTCCATCTACGATTTTGGCAGATAATAGTTAAAATTGGTATCAAAGTATGATCCATAATTTGTGTGTTGAAGAATTAGAGTGTTTAAAAAGTGTGCTGTGCATTCGTCATGGTTTAAATTAAAGTTTATCTGTTGTGTAAGATAAGGTGTCAAAGTTTAAAGGTGTCAAAGCTGGTGACAAAGGTGACTAGCTGGTATACATTTAAAGGAAATAAATACAATTTTATAATTATTTATTTATTATAATAAATATATTATTTATTAATTATTTATTTATTATTATAAATATTGAATTTTTATACGAGTTTTGTTTTGGCGAATGGATTTTAAAATAATGGGCTGAATTTTTTAAATTGATTCATTTCGAGAGACAATACATGAAACATTCAGGCCTTCATGAAACGAGTCAATATTTTCCAGTTTACGGTTACCTCCCGTATTTTGATGGTCAAAAATCTAAAACTGACGAAAGAAAAGTATGTTTTTTTCAGCGTAATTAAGTTTTTTTTTACCGATTTCGTTATCATATTTAACGCGTTAAACGATTGAGATTGATTCCTAATGTACGGAAATACCATAAATAATTAAAGGTGATCCTTTTTTGTCTCACAATTCCTATTTCAAACACTAATATTGAAAATTATATTTTACTAATAAACAAAAGATCTTAGAGGATAGAGTGTTTGCCTTAAAATGAAGTGAACCGGGTTCGAATCCCAGCGATGGCTGATCGATACGGATTGCGCATTCGGCTTGCATCGACCACTGTGCTGACGTAAAATATCCTCAGCGGTAAACTGATCATGGGTCAAAGTCCCCTTGCCGTCATTCTAACTGTGAGAGGTTTTTGTGGTGTTCCCTTTCGTGTAACGCAAATGCGGGGTAGTTTCATCAAAAAGTCCTCCACGAAGGCAAATTTCTCCCAATACTTGATCTAGGGGTTTCATTGTCTTTTGGATTAGGTTCAAAACTACAAGGCTACGGAGTTGATCATTAGATGTCGTAAAATAAAAAAAGTGGGTCGACTGTTAAACGTCAGTCCAAAAATAAAATAAAATAAATAAACATTTATATCGTGAAGAAATGAAAATGCAACATGATGATTTAAGAAAAACTATTTATGAGAACGTCAACTAAAAGTTAAAAAGAAGCAAAAAGGAAATATTTTAGGAGTACCTCAAAATTAATATTTTTAATATCATACCAAATAAATGATAAAGAAAATTTTAAAAAAAAGTACTTGAAAACTATGTACTTTATAAGTAATTCACAATTATAACGACTACAATATTTAGGTACTAATTTAAGCGTAATTAACAACAATTATTTTACGTTTTGAGAATTATGTAAATTAAAAATTCTGTGACGTTCTTCTTTAAAATATAATACTGTATAATATTTTTTTTTAAAAAAAAGGTAAAAAAGAGGATGACATACCTTGAAGAAGATCATCTCGGACTGATTTTAATTGAAACATCTGGAGACAAACCTTCGTCCAACAGGTGGGCGTCCTAAGCCGTCGTGACACCGTATACGGACATCGTGAGAAAAAAAACGCCAACTATTCAACCGGTTCTGAGACGTGTGTGTGGAAGGTGCTGCTCTACAAACACCATATTTCAGGGCCATTTCGAACAAAAATTCGTTCTTTTTTCTTTCTGTTCTCACTTTACTTTCTGTTTCATATTCATTCCACCACGCCAATTTGTTTTTCTTGTTTTGTTTGTTATGTTGCTTGCAGCAGTTCATTCACTTTCGTATTTGGAAATACAGTCGCTGAATTTCGATGGTTAAGATCTGTGAGATATTAATTACCTATTCAATATTTATTCCTTACCTTTTTTTTGTATCTGAGCAAGGGATTATAAAATGGGTTTATCCACGTTTTGCGCACAGTGTTATAAATTTCGTTTATCCAACTTACTTTACGTTAAAGATAATTTTTGGTAATTATTTTTTTATGTTATTTTAATTAATAATCTACGAAAAAATGATGAGTTAGGTGTAAAAGGCTTTACATAATTTGAAACAATGTAATTTTAAGCTACAAAATAGAAACTAATCATGCAGTTTCTGAGTAAAGTTAAATTTCATAAAAGTCGTAT